GGCTTGGAGTTGAATGAAGCGGACTTGAAGTTAAAGTTAAGTGCTAAAAGCACGATAGTTCCATCTCTGTTGTGGATGGGAGTGCTGGGGATTTTGTTAGAATACTAGCAATGTATGAAGTACACCTGTTTGCTTGTTTGTGTCGAGGGGCATTAGATATTTAGCTTACGAACATTTATAATGCTGAAATAAGAATAAACAACCTCTGGTCATTTAAATTCAATTTTTTTTTGAAGAGTACCTCCTTCAATTCACAATTTAATATCATGTCATTCCTCTCTTCAATTTGCTTCTTGAATATGCATTGGATCAGTATAGCATCATGTTATATACTGGTAAATGGTTAGTAATAATAGCACTAGGAAATTACCTTTTTGTCTTCGTTCTTATTTTTTGCATCAATGCTTTCTAACATGGAAATCTTCTGCTTGTTTCATGGGCAAGATTGCTACGAAGTACCTCCTTCCTGAGCTTGCCGGTGCTCGTTTGACACCGAAGCTTTTCAGTCGTGTGGCAGATGCATTTGTAAGCAAATATGGGGAATATGCAGGGTGGGCTCAGACGCTTCTGTTTATTGCCGAATTACCTTCACAAAAGGCCCTCTTACCATCACATTTTTGGGATATTAAAGGGAAAAAATCTGCCAAAATAAAAGACTAATGGTTGCGTTAACAATGGAAACTACTGCTGAAATCGCTTAAACAAAGCCCTTTGGAGACCAACTATTTGAACTTCGCCATCAAGCATTACTGCGACTGTTCCGAATGTTCGAACATTAATAATCGAACAGCTATGAATTGATCTTAATATGATAGTTGTTGATTGATGTTCCAGTGCTGTATTTTTATCGAAATGTTCTCTCTTTTTTTCTGTATCCTGAATTCAGGCTTTATTTATGGGCACTTTTCCAGGAGACTATGGGTTAGAAACATTAGCCCTGGTATGTGTTTTTTTTTAGGAGAAATTATTTCATGGACCTTTTTTACCACATCATCAATGGTCCCAACCAATTAAAAATTTCCATCAATTATTTTTCCCATGTCATTTGCACACATGGGTTCTATTTTCCAAATAAGTTTCTTCAGAAATGCATATCAAAATTAAACTTAAATTTAGGTATTATTTTTAGAATCTTTTTAATATCTTTGTCTTCTCCACCAAAACATGTCAAAACTTTCAATATGATCCTAAACTCTCATCCACTCCTATTGCCTGTAACTCGATGGAAGAAAAGCATAAAGAAACCAAGTTATCATTATACATACTTTTTCCCTTTCAAGTTTAATTCTTTTGATCGTTTGTAATTGTAATAATCCTGCAGCAAGTAGTTGTAGGTGGCTCATGACTAATGTGTAAAGAAAAACAAAAACAAGCTTGTCTCAATACCAAGAAAATGTTAATTGGCTACCGACTAATGCATGTTTTAATTTGAGATTTTCAAAAGTTTTAAGAGGTGCTTCAGGAATTTTTCAAGTAAAAGAGAAATTTTTGATGATTTATTTTCGAAAACTATAAAAACTTAATGAATTTGAGGGTAAAAACAAAGATTTGGGGGATGAATTTAAATGGAAAGAGAATTTTTTTATATGTATTAATAAAGATTCTAAAACAATCCCTAAATTTAAGTTTAATTTTGATATTCATTAATAGAGAAACTTATTTGGTAAATAGAATCCATGTGTGCAAATCACATGGAAAAAATAATTGACGTGGAAATATTTAATTGGTTGGAACCATTGATGATGTGATGAAAATGATCTATGAAATAATTTCTCGTTTTTAGACCATTCCTTATTACTCCAACCTATAATACAATAGCTGTAAACACGAAATCAATGTTAAAATGAAAGGGGGGGGGGAAACATAAAATATATATTGTTGTTTCGAAGAAGACATCGAATACACCAAAAGGGTTTATTCAAGTGGTAAATAGTTTGATATCGTTTAGGTAAAGTCTCAGGTATTTTATCGAAGTCAAATATGCGACTTGTGTCGGTTCAGATTAGTAAACGCGAAGCCTTGGAATTGAAGGGCAACGAAAAAAAAACAATACTTTAAATTAATTTAATTAGAGAAATTAATTCTATATGCCGTGATTTCATTGATAAACAAAATTAGTTATTTTAACCATGGAAAATTTGTCATAAAGGATGTTTAAATTCGATTATATGTATTAAGGGTTAATTATTTGAACTAAATTAAATTTAGAATATCTTTTAATAAATCGTTTCACATATGAATCAACTCCATCGATAACATCTAAAATCCAAAAGCTATAATGATATTCAAATAAAAAATTCAAATTTGTTAAAAGTATAAAACCAATATATATTTTAGTTGTAATCTAAATAATTCATTGATTTTGCTTAACCAAAAGCTAAAATCTTTAATATGTTGGGAATCACGGTCTTTCCCGCTTCGTGAAGTTAAGATAGGCTCTTAGAGATTAAGGATAGTAAAGAGAGCACAAGAGTATAATTCTCCAATTTGTAGATTATTATTATTCCATTAAAGATGTGGAGATAAAGTGTAGAATTTTCTAGAATATTCCGGAGAACTCTAGAGAAGTGTAGAACTCTCTAGAAGCTTGTGGAAGAGTGTAGAATCCTCTGGAATATTCTGGAGATGCGTGGAACCTTATAGAAGAGTGTAGAACCTTATGGAAGAATATAGAATGGAGTGGAAGAGTATAGAGTTTCTTAGAGTGTGTGGAGCATTCTAGATTATTAATCTCCACTCTTGGATGTAAGTAATCTCCACCATTCACTATGAAGGTGGAGTAGTATAAATAGGGGTGAGAGACTCCATTCCTAACCATCCAAGAAATCCAAAAGTACTAAGAGAGTTAGAGAGCCTCTTTAAGAAAGAAGAGGGATAACTTAGGAAGTCTTTTTCCTCAAGCTTGAGTGAGCCACCAAGTGTGAGTCAAATTTTGTGAAAACATCATTGTAATCATATTATTCTTTTGTATAGTGGAAGAATCTCCAAATTAGAGAATTATACTCTTTGCTCTCTTTACTATCATTAATCTCTAAGTGTCTATCTTAACTTCACGAAACGGGAAAGACATTGATTCCCAACAGTGGTATCAGAGCTAGGTTCATTCGTAGCTGTAATTAGCTCGTGTAGTTCAAGATGAAGGATAACGTCGCTCATGATGGAGACATGTTCAAGCACAGCCAATTACTACTCATATTGGAAGCCGATGATGGATGACCACCTGTACTGAAAGGCTTTGCATGAGCCTATCATCTACAAAGATAAGATAGAAGGCAAGAGTGATGCTCAATAGGAGCTACTAAATCAGAAGGATGTTGCTATGATCTGTAAGTATATTGATAAAACCCTCTTTGAGCATGTTTCTACTTATACAAATGCTTATGAATTATAGACAAAGCTTGAGTCCATGATTCAAAAGAAAACGCCTCGTAACAAAGTCAATTTAGTACGACGATTGGTGAAGTTTGAGTATAAGGATGGTCAAAGTATGATTGAACACTTAAATAATTTCAAGGGGCTCGTAAATCAATTAACAAAAACCGAGATGAAAATTGATGATGAGTTGCAAGCCCTTATACTCCTTAGTTCCTTACCGAAAAGTTGGGTTACACTCGTTATTACACTTAGTAATTCAGCTCCGGAAGGAAAGCTCACTATGGATATCGTTAGTGATAGCCTCCTCGGTGAAGAATCAAGGAGAATGGAACGAGGTAAGTCTATTCATCCCGAAGCTAATATTACTGAGAATCGAGGTAGGAATGAAACTCGTGGACGCAATAAAAGCCGAGATCCGCATCAATCTCGCGATAGATCCAAGTCACACTCGAAGATTACATGCTACTACTGTGGAAGGATGAGCCACAAGAAAATGGAATGTCGATCCTTCAAGGGAGACTAGAAGGCCGGTAATGTTAAGCCAGACCAAATCAGTCTAATGAAGAAGCAAGAAGAGAATAGTACTAATGTCGTAGTATCAAAAGAAGATCTGTTATATCTCGTTAATTAAGGTAATATCCTAAACATTGCTTATGATGATAGCTTTTGGATTGTTGATTCTGGTGCTTCATTTCATGTTACTCCACATGGAAGTTTCTTCTCATCCTACCGAAGCAGTGACTTTGGTACGGTGCAAATAGGAAATCAAGACAGGATCAAGATCGTCGGGATAAGACACACATCATCCTAACAACAAGCACCGGATGCAAGCTTATCTTAAAAGATGTGAGGCATGTTCCAGCCATGTGCTTTAATCTTATCTCTGCTGAGAAGCTAGATGATGCTAGTCTGATAAATTACTTTGGTGAAGGAAAGTGGAAGCTCACCAAAGGAAGCCTAATAATGACTAGAGGAAAGAAAGAAAGATCATTGTATGTGATGCAAGCTAAGCTATGCAAAGGAGAGGTAAATATCACCGCTGAAGATGTGGAGTTATGGCATAAACGACTTGGGCACATCAGTGAGAAGGGTCTTCACATGCTCGCTCGGACACAACTCCTACATGACGTGAAAGGTAAACCACTTGATCCTTGTGCTCACTGTTTAGCTGAAAAAAACACATAGTTACTTTCTAAAGATCTTCTCTGCCCACAAGGAGAAAAAACATCCTAGACCTCGTACACACCGACGTGTGTTCGATGTCTGAGAGATCAATAGGTGGTGCATTGTATTTTGTCACCTTCATTGATGATCAGTCAAGGAAGGTGTGTGTGCACCTGTTAAAATCAAATGATCAAGTGCTTGACGCATTCAAAGAATTCCATGCCCTAATGGAGCGTGAGATCAGACGGAAGATCAAGTGTGTAAGATCTGACAATGGAGATGAGTATAAAGATCCTTTTGAAGCATATTGCAAGAATTATGGCATTAGACTATAGAGGACTCCACCCAAGACACCACAATTGAATGGACTAGTTGAGAGAATGAATATAACTATTGATGAAAGAGTTCGATGTGTGCTCTCTCATGTTAAGTTACCCAAATCATTTTGTGGAGAAGCTATAATGGTAGTGGTTGACATTGTCAACCTTACACCATCAGTTCCCTTGAACAGGGGTATCCCAAAAGAAGGCTGGACGGGCAAAAGGGCTTCATATAATCATCTCAAGGTATTCGGGTGTAGGACATTTGTTCACATACCCAAAGATGAGAGAGCCAAGCTTGACGCAAAGATGAAGGAATGAATCTACCTTCGTTCACCTAAGGATGAATTCGGTTATCAACTTTGGGATCCATTCAATAAGAAGGTTGTCGGTAGTAGAGACGTTGTTTTCTTCGAAGACCAAACAATCGAAGATATCAAAAAATTCAGAGAGACCAAGATTGATAAGCAACAAGAACACCGAACAACAAGAACACCGAACATACTCTAGTTCGATTTGAGGATAATAATACACAAGAAAACAATGATACTGAAGATCATGAACCTATTTTAGAACAAAGCAACCAGGAGACTTATGATGAACCAGCTCAAGAAGAGCCTCAATCTAGATCTCCAACAGCACAGAGCCGGGACGATCCTTGAGAGATAGAAGATCATCCACTTGGTATAATACAGATGAGTACGTTATGCTAACTGATGAAGGGGAGCCTCAAAGCTATAAAGAAGCAATGGGTGAGAGTCATAAAGAAGATTGGAGAAGAGCCATGCAAGAATAGATGTAATCATTGCATGAGAATCATACTTATGAACTTGTGGAGCTATCAAAAGGGAGAAGAGCCTTGAAGAATCAAGACCGAAAATGGCAGCTCAAAGCCTCGATATAAAGCTCAGTTGGTCGTCCAAGGTAATACCGACAAAGAAGTTCGAAGATTGTTGTCAAGGTGTCAGCTTGCTACTACCTCCCAATTAAGTCGAGAGGGGGAGATTTGTTGGGTCTCTCCTTAATTGGAGAAGTTATAAAAAATTCTAGAGCTTTCTAGAGAAATGTGGAATTTTCTAGAACATTCCAAAGAACTCTAGAGAAGTATAGAACTCTCTAGAAGCTTGTAGAAGAGTGTGGAATCTTCTGGAATATTCTGGAGATGTGTGGAACCTTATGGAAGAGTGTGGAACCACTACAACAAATTTATCATTTTATGACAAAATTTATATTTGACGTTGCATATAACGTCACAAAATACACTAAAAATGTGAGATTTTTTAAATTTTCGTCACATTTGATGATTGATGATATATCTTTTATGAAAATTTTAAAAATATCATTGATTTTCGTCACTATATATTTGGAGCCAAAATTTACCTCCAAAAAAAATTGGAGGGAAACTTTTCAGTGACGTTTCGATAAATTGGTGACATTGTAAAATCGTCTCCAATGAAATTGAAGTATTAGTGACGGTTTATTATTATGACGATCTAATTTGAATTAGTGACATTACAAATTTGTCAGTAATAATTTTTTTTGTGACAATTTGATATGTCATGTTTTATAATACATAAAATGTGACATTTTATTTGTGTCAAAAATAGGTTTAACTTGACGAAATAAATTATTTGCTACTCATTTTTATAGCTCATCTTTTATATGATGATTTTAAAAGACATCATCAGATTGTGTCACATAATGTTTGGCGCCAATTTTAATAAAATTTTGGATGTGCCATTAATTGAAAATCTTATTGGTTACAATTTTTCAAATGTTTTTTTCTCATAATTTCAATTAGGCCGATTAGTTTTCACACACTAGTGTGTTCTATATATTTATATGTAAATGTATATTTATAACTCCTTTTTTCGTTGAAAATAATCTTTAGCTGACCATGTCGAAGTCGAGTACTAATAAGATAATTGTATGTCTCACTCCACAAAATCCAACTTAAAAGAATTAGTTTGATTTAAATTTATTTTTTTGATAAATTAATTATAAAATTTAGATTAAATTAGTAAACTAAAGTTTCTACGATTAATTCATAAGTTTTAGAAGTTTAGGACAATTAAGATGAATTCTAGACTAATCAAGGTCTGAACCATTAATTATACCTTTTAACTTATATCGATAAAAGGAATTTATGCTTAGCATCGAGGTTAATATGATTTGTTTTGTTTAAATTTGATTTTTAATATATTAGTTTTGAAATTTAGATTAATTTGGAAAATTTTTAAATTTTTTATGGTTAATTCATAATTTTTACAAGTTTTGGTCCATTAAGTGAACTTTAAGCTGCTTAAGAATTTAACCTCTAATTTTCCCCTTTTAACTTATATATTAAACAAATAAGGAAATTGTTTTTAGCAATAAATTAATTCTGAAATTTGGATTAAATTAGAAAATTTGTAAATTTTGCAATCAATTCATAATTTTTAGAAGTTTAGGGAAATTAATATGAACTCTAGACTTCTCAAGAACTGAACCTCTAATTTCGTCCTTTTTGACTAAATATAAAAAAGGATTTTGTACTTAGCATCGTGGTTAAAAGAATTTATTTGGTTGTAATTTGATTTATAATATACTAATTATGAAATTCATATTAAATTGGAAAACTTTTAAAGACTCTCATTTAATTCATAAGTTTTAGAAATTTTGAGCCATTAGTGTGAAATCTAAACTACCTAAAGACTGAACCTATAATTTCCCCTTTTCACTGATATATAAAAAATTGTTCATATCAATAAATTAATTCTGAAATCTGGATCAAATTAGAAATTTTGTAAAGTTTTTGCAAAAAAAATCATAATTTTAGAAGTTTCGACCATCAATGTGAACTCTAAACTGCTTAAGGGTTGAACCTCTAATGTTCCCCTTTTAACTTATAATTGAAAAAAAAATAAACTTTACAGGAATTAAAACCTTAACCCATTTTCAAACCAAATAAATATTAATGACGAGTGCACCACATTACAATATATATAATATGTAAAACTTATAACATCTGGTTAGGTTTTCAAAGAGAAAACCCTAAGGCCGTCAGCTCTAACTTCCTCTCCTTGCACCACACACCTCCCTTCCTTAGTAGACGTCGTTGTCTGTCTTATGGACCAGCCAACGTTCGTCTTCTGATCATCCAATCATCGACGTTTAGAAGCACTTCGCGAACCCCTCAGGTCCCTTCATACACCCCTATTGCAGCACTCTAACCCTTCGCAGTTCAGACGATTCCTCCTCCCAAATCGAAGCGTTGTTCACTGTCAAATGTAAGCTTCCACTATTATTTTCCTTAGGATTTTATGTGAAATGTGAAATCTTATTTGTTGGAACACTTGTATTTTCTATAATTAATGAATACACATATACTCTTTGTACTTATGAAGCAGTGGTTGCTAATATAACTGGTATACATAGTGCGATCAAGATGATGAATAACAGAATCAACATGCTTCATCACTATCTTAATGGAATTCAAAAAGGTATGATCCCTTTCCTTCTAAATATAATGCAAATTACATTTATTATAATGCATGTGATTGTTTCAAAGATTCCTAAAGGAAGCCTATATTTTTAGTGTAGAGTCTGGATAAAAGTTTAAACATAGAAAATACTTAAAAATAAATTATGATTTTCTACTAATGTTGAAAATTAGTTAGGCATCAAACAATTATAAATGCAACCATCTTTTATAGTTTTTTTAACTTTTTATTACTCATTTCCTATTTTCTATTGGATGTTGTATATATTACTTATATACGATATGCAATGGTAATATGTTTCCCATTCCAGATGGTTTCATAATGGTGGTCGGTGGTTGATGGTAGTGGTGATACAGAGGCAGTTGCGACATGGTCGAGATTTGGGGTTGGTTTTTAAAATTTTATGGGGAATGGAAATGTAATGATTGTGTAATTTTGGGCATTTATTATAATTTGTAAAAAGTGAATGTTATTATTATAACTTGTGAGAAGTTTTGGCCTTTATTGTAATTGAGAAAAAGTTTTGTCCTTCATTTTAATCGAATCGTTATAATTTATAAAAAATTTGCCCTTTATTGTTATTTATAAACAATTTTATTCTTCTTAATTTAGAAACAAATTGTCCTTTTTCCTAATTTATAAAAATTGTCCAAATTTTAATTAATAAAAGGTTTTTATAGTAATTTCACATTTTTAAAATTTTAATAAAGTTTTTTTAAATTTTATAATAAAAATTATGACAATAATTTTTTGTTATTAGTATAATAAAATTATTATATTATTGGTGACAATACCAATAATTAATGATAATTTTTTATATTATTTATTGACATAAATAATTGTCATTAAATATAAATTATAAAATGACAGTGACAAAAATATATACATTGTCACATTTGACATTTAGTGACACACCTAGCGTGACGTTCGTCATGACATCAAATTTTAAGTCACAAAATACAAATAATGACATAAATGTAAGTTTTAATGACAATATTTTAGATGTCACAAATAAACAAATTTGTTGCAATGAACCTTATGAAAGAATATGGAAGGGAGTGAAAGAGTGTAGAGTTTCTCAGAGTGTGTGGAGCATTCTAGATAATTAATCTCCACCCTTGGATGTAAATAATCTCCACCATTCATTGTGGAGGTGGAGTAGTATAAATAGGGGTGTGAGACTTCATTCCTAACCATCCAAGAAACCCAAAAATACTAAGAGAGTTAGAAAGCCTCATTGAGATAGAAGAGAGATAGCTTGGGAAGTCTTTTTCCTTAAGCTTGAGTGAGCCACCAAGTGTGAGTCAAATTTTGTGAACACATCCTTATAATCATACTATTCTTTTGTATAGTAGAAGAATCTTTAAATTGGAGAATTATACTCTTGTGCTCTCTTTACTATCATTAATCTCTAAGTGTTTATCTTAACTTCACGAAACAGGAAAGACCATGATTCCCAATATTATAATACCTTCATTAATTGACTAAGAATATATTAATGTCAGACATATTAACCGAAAAAAAGAAATCAATTTGACAGATTAATTTTTGTTTTAACAATATAGTGCATCTATGATTTGAAGTCGAATATCAAGAGCTACGATCTTGTTTTCTATAGCATCAAGTCGTCGTCTAAAAACATCATAAAGAGTATTTTGCTCTGCAACATATTTGGCAGGAAAATTGCCTTTTTCTGAAGAAGGCTTTAGCATTGTCCCATTCAGCACAATAGTTACCCTCAACATATATAATTGCGATGGAAAGCCAACTATCAGCAAAACAATCACCCTTCGCCCATCTTGATTCCCTTTGGGTATTGGCATTGCAAGGATACGGGGATTTCTTCGATGCTCGAAACCATCGAAAGTAATTATGACAATGATGATGATCAAAGCAATAACGGTTATGAGTATTTTGAAGTTAAAGGTGACTTAGAATTTCTCGACGGACGATATATTAACGATATCAATGAAGACACCGAGTACGACGATGAAGATGATAACGAGATTGATTTGGGCAACTTCTCATACGAAGAATTGATAGCTTGGGAAGAGATAATAGGAGTAGTGAAGAAAGGGGTATCCGAGGAAGAGTTTTCTTCGTGCTTGACGCCGTTTAAGTTTCGATCCATCGAACACGAAAATGGAATTGTTCGATGTGTAATTTGTCAAGTCGAATACGTTGACAATGAAGGATTAGTTGCTCTTCCTAATTGTGAACATCCATATCACTCGGATTGCATAAGCAAATGGCTCGGAATGAAGAAGAATTGCCCCCATTTGTAGCATTGAAATTCCATTTTAGATCTTGTGTTTATTTAATTTGTCTTCCACTGTAAATTCACTCAAAAAAAAGTTTGATCCTTCAATATTTCATTTTGAAGTCTAATCTTATGTCCATAACACCTTCTAAAACACATACTTCAACATTACCCTTAACCCTTTTCTAAAGCATAATTCACACAAACTTAAGCATTTCCATCACGTTTCTTTCATCCAGCCAAGAGATGCCAAGCTTTTTCTAACAATCTAGAGTGAGATAAAAGGTTTAGATTCTTACAAGAAGAAGAAGAAGAGAATGTGTAGAGAATTGAGTTTGATATTTACAGATAAGTATAATTTTAGAAAGCAGTTTGTTTATTATAATAAAATAATAGATGGCAGCCCCATCTGATACTCCCTCTGTTTCTCTATGCGACTGTTAGCTTACATTTGGGTAGCATTCATTTGCTGTCCTCCTTTAGGTAATACACTTTTTTCCCTTTTTTTTCTCCATTTTATAGAAAAAAAATTTAAAAATGATGACAATTAGGAGGAAGACACTTGTTTTTCCTTACCCTAGATTCTGTTAAATTCTTTTGTGATTTGATCTCTGTACTATGCCTATTTCTTTTTTGTCATCAGATTTCCATTGACTAAAATTATAATAAGAATAATAACGCTCTTATTAACCTTCTTTAATTGCAACATTTATTTAGTAATAGTCACTATCTAATTTTTAGTTTTCACTAGATTCTCATTTTTGGAATCATAGCTTTTGGGTTTGTTACTTAGTAAGCAAAGAACAGTAAAATTTTAGTCTTTTAGGATTGCTGCATTTTCTGGGTTTTAGTTACATTGGACTAAAACTGTGTTAAATGGTGAAGAATTAAAGAGTTTTCTTTCAACAAAAAAAAGGGCTGAAACTGCTTCTGGACTGAGAAAGATGGTTTGGGATTGATCATAAGGAAAGAGTGTTCTTCGGCATTGCAGTTTCAGCAAAGGTAACTTTTTTTTTGTTTCCTTTTATAGCGTGTTAAAGATAATTCGGCTTTTTTTTTATTAAGATAATTCAGCTTTATTATACTTCCTTCGAAAGATATGGAATTGGATGATATTTGGTCATGTGATCATGCCTTATAGCTGTTATGTTTTAATATTTGGGAAATGAAAATTGACTAAATTTTTTCCTTTTATTTTTTCAGTTAAGGAAATTCTTTATTGATACTGTAATTCATAATTGTAGTGAAACTGAGCATTGGGTGTACTATGTTCGAATGTTATTACTGAAAAAAGAAATATAGGAGGATAAGTCGATCTTTCCGGCTTTCGTCCGACGATGCATCGTTAATTTAGTTGAATATTTGCTTGTCTGATTCTGCAGATAGTCGAGGAGCAAGCTAAAGTGGCTTTTGTTGGTAATGTCAAAGACTCTGTCCCCTGAACCGCGAGAATGGGGACCCCTATCTTCATCTAACCCTAGGTGAGTTACTAAATTATTCGAATGGGATAAAGAAATGAATATAACAAGCAAATTGCAGAAATCATCTCTGAAGTTTTAATTGAAAGGTCAGATATACTTTCATTTATTCTGACTATTATAAGTGGTTTGGAAATATAGTTTTGTTGGTTCTGCTAATGAATCGACTGTTTATATCCAGTGAATCAAATGAAACGAATAGAGTGAATGATTCTGTTGATACAGTGGCTCCAGTTGCTCGTTTTATTGAGCAACTGCATGTCTACACGTCTTCACCAAGTGAGAAAAAACTTATCACATCCCGTGTGGTGGTTATTGCCAGAGCAAGAAAGGAGGCAAGAACACTTATTGGTTCCCATGGCCAAGCAATGCCATTGTTTATATCCATTCTCAGGAGCGGCACCCCTTCAGCAAATCTCAATGTTGCTTCAACTCTGACTGTGTTATGCAAAGATGAGGACCTACGGCAGAAGGTTCTTCTAGGTGAATGCATTCCGCCATTATTCTCGCTTTTGAAGTCTGAATCAACTGAGGCCCGGAAGGCAGCTGCAGAGGCTATATTTGAAGTTTCCTTTGGTGGTCTTTCAGATGACCATGTTGTTATGAAAATATTTGTTACAGAAGGTGTTGTGCCAACTTTATGGGAACAACTCAGTCCAAGAAACAAGCAGGACAAAGTGGTAGAATGATTTGTTACCGGGGCTTTGAGGAACCTTTGCAATGAGAAGGATGACTATTGGAGAGGCACTTATGGCTGGCTGGAGGAGTAGATATAATTGGGGGTGTTCTCTTTTCTGATAATGCTGCTGCTCAATCCAATGCAGCTTCCTTTTCGGCCAGATTGATGTTGGCATTCAGTGATAGCATCCCAAGAGTTATAGTTCTGGAGCTGTCAAGGCATTGCTTCGGCTTGTAGGTCAAAATAACGCATACTTCTGTCCGTTCAAGTGCTGCAGATGCTTTGGAAGCCCTTTCTTCAATGTTCAGTGCAGCAAAGAAGGCAGTTGTTGATGCAAATGGTGTTCCTATTCTTATCAGGGCTGTTGTTGCTCCTTCCAAAGAATGCATGCAAGGAGAGCATACGCAGTCTGCGCAGCACCGTGCAACCCATGATTTAGCAAATATTAGTGGAGGAATGTCTGATTTGATTTTATATCTTGGAAAATTATCACCATCTTCTCGCTTAGATGTACCAGTTGCTGACATTGTTGGAGCACTTGCTTATGCTCTAATGCTGGTTAAGCAGACTACTTGTCTTGATGAGGAACCCTTTGATGCAGCACAGATAGAGGATGTATTAGTTATGTTACTCAGACCTTGTGATAATATGCTAGTCCAAGATCGTATCCTTGAGGCCACGGCAAGCTTATATGGTAACACATACCTCTCACTATGGCTCAATCATGCAGAAGAAAAAAGGGTGCTTATCGGACTCATAACAATCGCTGCTGCTGATGTCCAGGAGCATCTAATACTTTCTTTAACCAGTTTATGCTGTGACAAAGTGTTTGGGATGCTATTAGTAACCGAGAAGGTATTCAGTTGCTCATATCATTGTTGGGCTTATCCAGTGAACGGCACCAAGAGCATTCAGTACAGTTGTTAGCAATCTTGACTGATCAGGTTGATGACAGCCAGTGGGCCATTACTGTTGCTGGTGGGATTCCTCCATTGGTGCAGTTACTGGAGTTAAGTTCTCGGAAGGCAAGGGAGGATGCAGCCCATATTTTATGGAATTTATGCTCTCACAGTGAAGACATCCGTGCCTGTGTCGAAAGTGAAGACGAGGAGTTTGATGTTCTCAATCCTGCTGTTGTTTTGGGTGGAACCATTGCTTTGTGGTTTTGTTAGTACTGTCTTCATGCCTCTCAAAGAACAAAATTACCATAATGGAAGCTGGTGGACTTGAGGTTCTATCAGACAAAGATTGTAAATTATGCTTCCAATCCTCTGGTAAGGCTCTCCCTCTCTCATTCTCTCCCCGTCTATACTGCATATTTGACAAAATCAGAATTCACATCTCTGCAGTTGATGCTAACATCATATTCTTGTTGACTCTTACATTCTTTTTGGTCGGATGAACACTATTACACTTTCTGGAGCTATTTTCATGATTGATTTCTGAAAAAGGGACTCCCAGGATAAACTTATGAGCTTTTAGTTGGTTTTCTTTTTCAATTTTCAGATTGTGCTCCTTAATCTTATATTGCAATGGCATTAACTTAATACTTGCACTAGCGTAAATTAGTTTCAGCTGCATTCTACTCTTTTGTATCCATTACAAATTTCTTTCACAGGAGCTTATTCAAGTGTTGCCATTTATGTCTCAACTATTATGCAATGATAAGGCATATTTTATGCTATTGAAATATGTCATTGCTGTAGATACTTATAACTAAACAGACAAAGGTATCTTCGGACATTAACTGCAAAGAGGAAAAATGAGGAAAGGCTATAATGCTGACATGATTGTGGGGTGGAAGTGGGAACATGTGTCCTGAATATATAAAAATATACATTTCCATATTCCTAAAGCCACTGTTTTCTAAAAAAAATTGACATAACATCATCCGTGTTGATACTTAAGATTACCTTGCTTAAGATTTTGTTAGCCTAGCTGAAAACTATGTTTATTTTCTGGCAGAATTCGAGGATACAGAAGGCATTTGGATAAGTGCCCTTCTTCTTGCTATATTGTTCTAAGATGCAAATGTTGTTTTGTCTCCGGCAACCACACGCATCATGCCTTCACTTGCTTTTCTGCTGAGATCCGAAGAAATTATTGACAGATATTTTGCTGCTCACGTGGCTTGTCTAGTTTGTAACGGAAGCAAGGGAATAAGTCTTGCTATTGCAAATTCTGGTGCTGTTTCTGGATTGATAACATTGATTTGCTACTTGGAATCAGATATACCCAATTTAGTTACCTTGACTGAAGAATTTTTTCTGGTACGAAATCCCGGTCAAGTTGTATTACAACATCTTTTTGAAATTGAAGACGTGTGAATTGACTCTACTGCACGGAATTTTTTCCCTCTTTTAGTGAATCTCTTGAGACCAATACCAGATAGGCCTGGTGCCCCTCCGGTTTCTGTTCAACTCTTAACCCGCATTGCAGATGGAAGTGATGCAAATAAATTAATCATGGGTGAAGCTGGAGCTAGTGACGCTTTAACAAAATATCTGTCTTTGAGCCCTCAAGACTCGACAGAGGCTGATATATGTGAATTGCTCAGGATATTATTTAGAAATCTGGAACTTATTCAATATGAAGCATCACTTAGCTCATTGAATCAACTTATAGCTGTTTTGCGCATGGGTTCTAAAAATGCCAGGTTCAGTGCTGTGAGGGCTCTCCATCAAATCTTTTATGCTGACAACATTATAGATTCTGAATTAGACAGTCAGGCTATACAACCATTGCTTGACATGATGTATGCTGCATCTGAGAGTGAGCAAGAGGCTGCTCTTGTTGCCTTGATCAAGTTAACTTCCGGGAATGCTTCAAAAGCAACTTTAATGACTGATATGGAAGGAAACCCACTTG